AGCCTCACGCTCATAGAGATGAAGAAAAGCTCTGCTCATTAGACATAAGAAGAGTTTTAGCCTTTTACCTGGACCAGACTAAGTCATTTAGATCATCACAATTGTTCATTGTGGTGGTGAACAGAAGGAAAGGCCACAAGTATCTGTCTGTTCAGAGGATTTCCTCCTGGATTTCTTTGTGTATTCATTTGTGTTACCAGGTGGCTAATGTTACTCCACGAGCTGGAAAGCTAGCCTATTCAACTAGGGCACATGCAGAATCTGAAGCTTTTCTGGCACAAATTTCTATTCTGGACATTTGCAAAGTCGCAAGTTGGTCATCAGTACACACATTTGCTTTTCATTACACTATATCCTCTCAGTCCAGGAACAGTACCAGATTCAGGCCTTTTGTTCTACAGTCACTGTTCAAATAGACTGCAGGCCTACCTCCAGATGAATCTGCTTGTGAGTCATCTACAGTGGAACAAACATTTGTAATCAGTTGAAGAAGAAGAAATGGTTACCGACCTTTCCATAACTGTTGTACTGTTGAAATGTGTTGCACATGTCCATTTCATGACCCACCTTCCTTCTCCTCTCTGTTGAAGTCTGTACAGCAAGGAGAAACTGGGTGGGGGGAGGGTGTTGAGGACAGCTCCACCCTGTATACTTTATATCTCCATGCAGAGATGCGCAGCACTAGAGGGCACTCAAGGCACCCTGACAGGTAACGGGGAGGTGAAGGGGAGACTGGAATCTGTCAGTCATGCACTGGGCACACACTCACCTGCAGTAGAATGAATGCGTGCAACACATCTCAAAAAACAACTAGTAACCATTTATTACCCCACATAACATCATTACTCTAGTTCCAATACATGAGTGGACAGCCTAATTGTTGTCCACAATGTTACTTTATATAAGAGAGAGAGGTTACGGTATTTCCAGGAGCCAGAGAAACTACCGTAATTTTATTCCCAGTCGCCTATGAATCTTCATAATAAAGGCTACTGGATTGCTTAATGAGATAGAGATGAAGTGCTTGCCTATGCCACCAGTTCAAATCCAGCCCAGGCCAACTACAAAGGATCCCATGCTGCAGTGTGTAATATACAGGCAGATTGCTGTGCTCACATGGAGCCCCACTGAAATCAACGAGTATCCGTATGGGTTCAGCAGTCCATCCTCCTACTATACAGGGCTTGCGGGATCAGGGTCAAAAGGTGTTTCCCTCTGAGATTTTTTAAGTCCCATGTCATAAATTTTAATTTGAATCCAGTTCTCGGGGAACAGGTATTCCATGTTTCTCACTCTCAGGCGCATACATCATTATAATTGGCATTAATTAGCCAGCTTATTACCCAGGTCTGGGCCTGGAAACTATTTTACTCTCATACCCCTGGAGCTGGCCCCTCTGGAACATCGTTGGTGGGATAGTCATGGTTTGTTCTCCACCTGTTCTGTGGATAACCCCAATATCCAAAGCAGTCAATTCAGCATTCTTGAATTCACTTTAACATATCATGTGTGTGTATCAAATCTACATGCAGACATTTTGAGCCTTCTCATAATCTCCCTAGTTCCTGCATTTAATCACACTTCTATAGTTTCTTGACTGCTTGGTAATTTGATTGCTTATGTTGCTTTTTGCGGATTTTCTTTTTCTATTTAGTTTTGTTTCATTTTGGGCAGTAATAGCCTTCAAGGGAAAACATATACTTCCAGTTTCTCAGAGCCTTGCTCCATGCTTCTCTTAAGCTACCACACCCCCTAGTGACAAGCAAATGTTAACTTGTAAACATCCGTAACCAGAAGCCAATAAATGTAAATGTCTTGCAGGTTGGATAATTCTTCATGACTCTTTCTCCATTCTTCCCCATTTTGAGATCCTCTATTAATTTATTCCCCTACCCTGCTCAGTAGAGCCAAATAAAAGAAAACTGTAACATGTCCAAACACTCTTGAAATTATGTACTTCACATGCTAAATGCTATTCAAAGTAAATTGAAGCCAAAATAAAGTAGAAAGGAATCCCACTTGGCAAATGTGTAATGCAGATTAGAGCTTTTCCTGAAGTGATGAAGATGTTTATTCATTTTATATATAGCACTCTGTGAAGTTAATTTTTGCAGCTGCTAGAGCCATGCTCTATTGTTATGCTGTTCTGTGCAAAGATTGTTGTTGTTTGCGGGGGTAGGGGGAAGTAATTGTTTTCATTACTAAGGAGACTGGAAGTGCATTAAACAAGAGTCAGAAACCTTTTTATTTGACCAAAATTGTTAAAACAGTTAAAAGACAGGACTGTGTGTAAATGTTTGAAAGAACATATTGACTACAGGAAATCTGATAGATAGACCACCCAAACTATAAAGAGTAGCAGTAGGGAGAAAGTATGTAGCTAATTTTAGCTACATTACACTGTGCTGCCAATAACTGGGTTAAGCAATGTCACACATCTGCTCCTAGCCCTGCAGCATTTAAAGATTTCAGTAATCATCCAAAATTTTAACTTTCTCAAGAGGATACCCTATTTAGTATTGTATCCCCATCATCCATTGTATCGGTCTACAAATGGAGGGCCCAATCCTGCTCTTCAACAAAACAAACAAACAAAAACACCTGGCCATGCATATGTAACCGTAGTGTGTTACTCATAATTCTGTGGAGGATTTGTTTTCTTTTGTTTATGGACATTTGACTAGAACAGTGGCTCTCAACCTTGCCACACTACTGTACCCCTTTCAGGAAGCTGATTTGTCTTGCGTATTCCCAAATTACACCTCACTTAAAAACAACTTGCTTACAAAATATACAAAAGTGTCACAGCCATTATTACTGAAAAATTGCTTACTTTTTCCTTTTTATCAAATAATTATAAAATAAATCAATTGGAATAAAAATATTGTACTTACATTTCAGTGTATAGTATGTAGAACAGCATAAACAAGTCACTGTCTGTATGAAATTTTAGTTTGTACTGACTTTGCTAGTGCAACTAGGCAAGTATCTAGATGAATTGATGTACCCCCTGGAAGACCTCTGCATACCGACAGGGATACATGTACCCCTAGTTGAAAACCACTGGACTAGAAAAAAAACTGGTGGAAAATATTGCAAGAGAATACGTTTTACATGATATAAATTTTATAAATCTTTTTCCTAAAATAGCCAAAGACCTGTACAGACCTGATTTATATTAATAGAATTGTGTGCATTGACAGAAGTTTGTAGTACCTAAAGTACTTTAAAAGCTAAACTTTTGGGGCACAGCTTCAAATCTGCAGGTAATGACTGCACATCCAGTCAAATAGAAGTTCAAATTAGCATTGTCATCTTTGGGGAGAGGGAAAAATTAAAGTAACTTGGGTTTTTTTGGCAGGGGTTAGAGCAGGGGTCGGCAACCTTTCAGAAGTGGTGTGCCGAGTCTTCATTTATTCGCTCTAACTTAAAAGGTTTTGCGTGCCGGTAATACATTTTAACGTTTTTAGAAGGTCTCTCTCTATAAATCTATATTATATAACTAAACTATTGTTGTATGTAAAGTAAAGAAGGTTTTTAAAATGTTTAAGAAGCTTAATTTAAAACTAAATTAAAATGCAGATATTATCAGTTTAGTGCAGTGGTTCTTAACCTGGGGTGCATGCACCTTCTGGGGGTGCGAGATGCCCTTTCTGGGGGTGCGAGACATGCGAGATTTTTTTAGAGGGTAAATCACTGAAAACACAAATTAAGCACAGTCATATAAGTACAGCTACTTTGTTTCATCAAACCTATGTATTTATTAACATTATACATTTTTTTAATGATTACTGTCAGATACAAATTTTTTGAGTTTTTCCAGTTTTTAAGCTAATTGTAGTGTAATTTTTTATAAGGGCTGCAGAGTGCTGGGCCCAGGCCAGGAACAGAGCCCTGAGCTGGCTACCGGTACCCCAAGCCAGCAGGAGGGCTGAGCAGGGCCAGAGGCCCGGACCCCGGCTGGCAGGGAGCTGGGCGGCTAGAACCCCAGACCAGCAGCGAGGTGTGCGGGGCCAGCGGCTGGTATCTCAGGCCGGCAGCAGGCTGAGCAGGGCAGATGGCCGGGACCCCGGCTGGCAAGGGGCCAGCGGCCGGAACCCCAGACTGTCAGCGAGCTGAGCTGGGTGGCAGACAGAACCCCAGACCGGCAGCGGCTCACCCGCTGGTGGTCTGGGGTTTGGCCAGTTTCTACCAGCCAGGGTCCTGGCCGCCGGCTCCGTTCAGCCCGCTGCCAGCTGGGGGTTCCGTTCACTCAGGCCAGCAGCGGGCTGAGTGGGGCCAATGGCCGAGACCCTGGCTGGCAAGGGGCCGGTGGCCGGAACTCCAGACCGGCAGCGGGCTGAGAGGGGCCAGCAGACAGAACCCCAGACCGGCGGCGGGCTCAGCAGCTCAGCCTGCTGCTGGTCTGGGGTTCCATCCGCCGGCTCCTGCCAACCAGGGTCCCAGCCACCGGCCCTGCTCAGCCCGCTGCCAGCCTGGGTTTTCATTCACCCAGGCTGGCAGCCGGGACCCCGGCTGGCAGTAGAGTGCCAGTAAAAATCGGCTTGCGTGCTGCTGGTTGCCAACCCCTGGGTTAGAGAGAGGGGATTGTTGTGTGTCTAGCTTCATTATGAAAAGCATAATTCTAGTAGGAGTCAGGTTGAAACAGAAGTCTGGTAGTTTAATTAGACTTATCAATCTATGTCTCTTGTGTTGTTTAAATAAATATCCAATACAAAATTTAAACCCCATAATTTATAATACAACTTAATTAGTTGTTTGTTAAAATAAAATGCTGATTTGTAATGCAGAAGATTCTATTCCACTGTATGGTGGGAACTTTCAATTAAACTTCTTATTTTAAAAAAAGTCTACCTTGTTGCTAAAGATTGTGCTAAATGTAAAATGTATTTGGACATGTTTATAAACAAATTTAGACAAAATATAAAGTAGCTACTTAAATTACACTATCATGGCGAACACACTCTACAGCTATTAAGCAATAAAACTTTATTTTCTAGGGAAACCCCAAAAGGAGCAGATTACCTTGCCAAAAGTCTGGATGATGCTTTAGTTCTTCTGGACTCACCAGAGTTAAAAAGTAAGGTAGACATGGTTTGGATCATCGGAGGCAGTTCTGTTTATAAGGTACAGTTGGAACACTAAATTAATACTCTTAAAATGGTATTGTGGGACCATGAGAGGTGGGAGCCAGATGGCTCAGCAGTTAGCACACGCATACAATAACTTGTAATTGTATTGATCAAGTACTTACGACAGGACTAGCACTGGGGATGCTCAAAGCCATATTGGCTGGCTCCAACTGGATAGGCAGCTACTAGCAACAAACTCTCAAGAGTTGACCTTTTTATACCTTATTTACCACATACATATGACTATGGCCACTATTTCTCGAATCCTTTCCTTTGCTAAAACCAGTTAGAACCATCTTTGATAATTGGGGTTTCTTCAAAGACTTTCCTCCTATCTTATCAGCCATATTCCAGGTCCAGTATTTGCAATCAAACATACCATCTTTCAAGGCCTTTCCACAACTGCTACCCATCTGCACTTTACAACAAACTGCAAAGCATGTATAAATTTTTAGCTAAGCTAATTTAACCCTTTACATTATACTTATCTAATCCTACAGCTGGGCTGCAGGAAGGGCCCTGCAGTTGCAGCTCATGGCCACTAGAAGGTACTGTGGACCTGTGTGGAAGCAAAAGGAATTCTGGGAAGAGCAGGCAAGCAGTGAGGCGGCAGCAGCAACAAGCAGAGATAGTAGTGGAGACAGAAAGTGAGGCGTGTACCTAGTGTTGGCCCTAACCTCCTCCACCTAGCAACCAGCCATGCCCCATGCAGACACTCCCATCCCAAACCACTCATCTTCCCCTATCCACACAACAGGTTTCAGCTGCCCCTGACACCATCCCTATCCCCACAAAGCCACCTCTTTAACCATTAGCAGCTTCTTCTGGACACTCTCTCTCTCCACACATACACCCTCATACCAGATTTAGTCTGGTAATGTTTTTGAGCATGGAAAAAATTATCAGTGATCATCGATTCTAGATCAATGTTCTGCCAACCTCAATGTGTACTTTACAAAAAGGTATGTTTCTTGAACCCGCCTCACTATAACTGATTAAAGTAAATGTATATCTTTTCCCTGTAATGGAAAATTAGGTGTCACTAAGTTCTTATTCAATCATAAGTTCATTTAATAATTATAAGAAATACATTGTTTTAAAAAATATTTTAATCTTTCACATTATTATCTCACTAATTTGCTATCTTGAAATCGTTTAGTGCAGGTTTTTTTCCCCCACAAGATGCTTACCTAGCTTTATGCCCAGTTTCTTGAACAACTTGTAAAGGAAAATATAGAAATAGTAGTTACCCTTCATTACCCAACATCTGAGCCCTCTGCTTCCATATTTAATGAAGATACCTTTTTTTGGTGGAACTCTTTTCAGATTTGGCGTAATTACAAAACGGGAACAAGAGAGTTGACTTGGCTTCTGTCAAGGTTTCTTCCCCACTCTGAACTCTAGGATACAGATGGGGGGACCTGCATGAAAGACCTCCCTAAGCTTATTCTTACTAGCTTAGGTTAAAAATTTCCCCAAGGTACAAACTTTGCCTTGTCCTTGAACCGTATGCTGCCGCCACCACCAAGTGTCTTACATAAAGACCAGGGAAAGAGCCCACTTGGAGACGTCTTCCCCCAAAATATCCCCCCAAGCCCTATACCCCCTTTTATGGGGAAGGCTTGATTAAAAATTCTCACCAATTTGTACAGGTGAACACAGACCCAAACCCTTGGATCTTAAGAACAATGAAAAATCAATCGGGTTCTCAAAAGAAGAATTTTAATTAAAGAAAAGGTAAAAGAATCACCTCTGTAAAATCAGGATGGTAAATACCTTACAGGGAAATCCGATTCAAAACATAGAGAATCCCTCTAGGCAAAACCTTAAGTTACAAAAAGATACAAACAGGAATATACATTCCATCCAGCGCCGCTTATTTTACTAGCCATTAAACAAAAGGAAATCTAGCACATTTCTAGCTAGATTACTTACTAACTAACAGTTGTACGGCTGCATTCCTGATCTGTTCCTGGCAAAAGCATCACACAAACAGACGAACCCTTTGTTCCCCCCACTCCAGATTTGAAGTATCTTGTCTCCTCATTGGTCATTTTGGTCAGGTGCCAGCAAGGTTATCTTAGCTTATTAACACTTTACAGGTGAAAGGGTTTTGCCTCTGGCCAGGAGGGATTTTATAGCACTGTATACAGAAAGGTGATTACCCTTCCCTTTATATTTATGACAGTTTCTGTCTGCAGTTCAGAAGAAAGGGCAACTTACGCAGAAGTAATTTCTTCTTGCACATCCAGTGGTTCAAAATATGTATTTTAATGTTCCCTCCTCTTACAGTGAATTTATTCTGTACTGTAGACTTCTAACCTAGTTAACTGTTTTTATCTTGTGCACTGTTTTTTGCTGCCTTGCAGACAACAATGCTATTTGGAACCACAGCACACCTACCCTTGTTTAGAAAAATAATAATTTGCAAGGTGGATACGATAAACAGACTTGATCAAAAGCGGCTTGATCAACATAATAGAATCTGATTTTAAATTTAACTGTTTCCATTATTTCAAGTATCTAATCAAGAGATTTTGTGAAAGCTTGTAGCTTACTGAGAAAAATCTGACAGTTGTGTACGGAGTTGTGCATTTAAACTAGCATTATGATTTTAATTATAAGTGTTTGATGAAAAGTGAAGGTAACATTTTTAGTGCTTACATCAGGGATGTACTGTAGTTGTGTGATAAAGACTTCTGGGAGATTACCATGTAGAGACGTGCAGGTAGAAAATTATCTGTGTGGATACTAAATGCCTGCTGTTAATTTAAATGAATCATTTTATCCATTGATAGTAGATATCTGCTTTTTAAAGCTTTATTTTGATCGTACCACTTTGTGTGACTTAATGAAGGTATAGGGCCAGTTTTTATTATTAGATGCATGCCCATGTTGGAGGCAGTAATGAGCCACCACCTCTTAAATGGGAGATTCAGGAGACAGTGTGCCTCAATGACAATGCTGCCTGGAGATCCTGAGAAGAACAGCCATTGCATCACCCTTTAAGATAACGTAGCCTGTGCTCTTCTCAGCTGGTCAGTGTGAGGGACTCTGGCCTCACCTCTTCTCTGCCTCTTTTGGTGTAGGGATGCTTAGGTGAGCTCATGGACTACAGTTGTTTCTGTTCTCTGAATCAGTGTGCAGGCAAGAGAGTGGAAGGACTAGGAGATGTCTCGTGACCAAGTTGGCTTAAAAAACATAGACTCTAAAGGAAATATTGCCCAGGGAATTCTGGCTTGCCCACTTTTCACTTCAGTGGAGCCTTAAAGAAGCAAGATCTTTCACATTCCTATAGACCCCAGCTCAGCAGTGTATAAACACAGCCAGGGTGGACGCTCTCAGAATCTGCTTATGATCCAAACATCACCTCATGCTGCAGGGCAAGATATCAGCATAGATGAGTTAATTTACACCCAGATTAATCCCAGACAACTGGGAACTTCATCCTTCTACTTTATTGATCATACCTCCTCGAATGCACTTTGTGGCCATTGGCTTCAGAATATTGTCAGCAGGTTCAATGATCTCTGGGACGTTAGTGGTAAATATCCTGTTTAACCACTAGACTTTAAACCGGGGGTAAATGTCATCTAATGACTTCAGTCCTTTCCATTCCTAACTTCCTGGAATACTGAAAAGGCTGGTGTAGGAGAGAACCATGATATTTCTGGTATCCCCAGACTGACCTTTGTTATCTTAGTATTCACAACACGGAATGAGGGCACTGACTTCCCTTTTAAGCCTTTCTCTCTGGAATAAGCTGTCACGCTAATGTGTCTTGAGAAGTCTGTTCATCTGTGTCTCATGGAATGGACACCAAGAGGTTAGGGATTGTGTTGGATTATTCTATTTTTTCCCTCTGGATACAGGTTATACTTGTTAGAATGCAACTGGACATCCAGCAGGCCACAAAATGTAGGCCTATTAACTTCAGAACTTTGATATCTTCCTCTCTGTGCTGGGGCATCTGCCCATACTGGCCCATAAGGGGTTAATAGAGCTTTAGGGAGGCTGCGCAGGAGGCAGCCAATCAGGGCCAGACTTGCCCATATAAGAAGGGATGGGGAGCAGAGCACCTTCAGTCACTCCCTGGATCTTGAGGAGCACTGGCTGCCTAGCAGGCAGAGGACAGCAAGCATCTGGCAGGCAAAGACCTGGGGAGCTAAAGGCAGCTCCTGGCAGGCTGCAGGGATCTGCAGGCTGAGGCCCTGAGGCAAAGGCAAAGAGGGTGCTGGGACTGTGGGGAAGTGGCCCAGGGAGATCTACAGAGGAGTCGGAGGGGGCGCCACAAGCAGCCCTGGGTTGTCACCTTTCCCCCACTCCCGCCCACACTTGCCACTGAGGAAGTGGCTGGACTGAGGGACTGCGATACTGTCCCCTGGAAGGGGGGGACACTGAGTGTGGTACAGACTAAGGGCTGTGTCATGAAGAGGACACCGCAGTCCTTGGGGCAACACGGATCCAGGAGCAGAGGTGACAACGGGCGAGATACCACCAGAAGAGGGTGCAGAGCTAATTTCCAAAACAGCTAGTAGGAGGCACTGCAGTGGTGAGTCCCACCCTGTCACACTCTCCTTCTGACATCTGGATGGGAGGTTGGTTCAGGAGTTTTCCAAGAAACTTAATTAAGCTATCTTTATCCAGTATGTCTATTTTATAATTCCAGGTTGACTACATCAAGCCTAATTTAAATCCAGCAAGAAATCACCATATGATTAAAATGTTTGACTGCATGATAGATATTATTATTTTTGTTTAGGGGAAGGAATGGGGCAGCAGGGAAAAAGATTGGGAATGGATTTGTTTGTTTTTGGTGAAAATACTTCAGAGGTGTATTTTGACTACTCTGTATCTTGGTATTTCTGCACTTGTATTTCCCTATGCACAATAGACTTTTAAAGATGACCTGCCGCAAACGCACACTTCTGAGAAAACAGCTTTTTAAATATTATCTTTTCCCATTAGCGCTAAATTCACCAGTTGGTGAGAATT